GGTCAGATGATCACATGGCCTGCACAGCCGTGACTGAGATGAAAACTGAGTGTTTGCTGAGGTTTACGGAGTTAATTCTTAGTGCCATGCCTTGAGGGAGAGGACCATATGACTATCAAAAAGGACAACCGTCATAGTATCCATAAGCATTTATTGAATACCAATGGATTGCTGAAGGAACGTAAAGATGAAACGAACCAAAGGCCCTGTGTTGCTGTTAAAGCGTGTTGACAAAGTAGTTAGCAAGGTCCAAGGAAAGGACAGAGAGGAAAACTCAGGTTAACAGAGGGTCAACTGAAGAATGTCTGCAAAGAAAGCCAGCAAGGACGCCTAACAACGTCTCTCCAGTTATTTGAAAGTGAATTCAGGTTCAGTTTTAAAACCTGATATATGTTTGTGGCTAAAGCAGCACAGAGCTGCCGGGAGTGGTCTGTCCTAGGATCTATTACCTTTGATCACTTCCATGGTCACAGAAGGCACACCTTGCCCTAAGCAACCCCTGGCAAAACCCAGCCCTGCTGACTTGGGAAACTTGGCAAGCCAGAGTATTTGGGGTGGAAAGGCAACCTATTACACCTACTAGAAAAAATATCTCAAAGTGCTCGACCTACTGATGTCAGCAACACTCTACATGCGGTGGTGGAGGGTGAGGGGTGGGGGTTGGGAGGGGGTAGGGAATTGCTGTGGAGCAGGCCTTAGGACACCCAGCTGGGAGTGGACAAGTCAGGGAGGTAGGGCATTGTACATTCCTCCGAGGCAGGGGCCGTGTCTGCCCTCCTTTGGGTGGGAGTGTGAGTGGATATACAACTGATAAGAGGCTGTCTGGTCCGTTGGGAGAACTCTACAGGGGAGTCTGGCCTCTTCTAGGGTGTGAATAAGGTGAGAGTGGAGGTTAGCAGAACTGGCGTATGGAAGCCACGGGTTATTGAAATTTCCTGTAAAGTGACGAGGCCGACGTGAAGGGACGGCTGGGCGGTGTGTGTGTGTGTGTATGTGATTTGTCTCAGGGAATGAGCTGGCTGCTTCTCCTGTACACCCAAGGCTCCCCCATCACACAGTCTCTCTCTCTCTCTCTCTCTCTCTCTCACACACACACACACACACACAGAGGATAGTCAGAGGTTCCCAGATTCAGAAGATAAAGGGAAGGCGCCCACACTTCAAACCCTGGACCGCAGCGGGGAACTGGGGGAGGGTGTCTAAGAAACACCCCCGCGGACCAGTTCTGAGCAGGGAAGTGGACCGGGAACAGCACATTTCCTGCTTCGCCTGTGCAAACCCCAGGCGGGGCCAAGCGGGAACAGGGTTACGGTCCAGTTGTCGCCCGCTGCCAGGAAGGGGTCCCGGTATGGATGGCCTGGAGGGGTCAGTGAACTGGGGAGAAATGCAGGGGCCAGAGACTGAGAAAGGGAGTGAACCCTGGACGCACGCCTGCCTCCTACCCTCTTTCGGAACAAGTACTATCCCCAAAGACCCTCTCTAGCCCAGCCCTTTCTTCTTCTGCTCTGGGTGAAGCCAGCCGCGGCGGCAGAAGGGCAGAGTGGAGGCTCCAGGCGGAGAGGCGCGGAGGTCGGACCCTCGGGGCCTTGGGGGGGGGGGGTGCTGAGCAGCGCGGGAGTGGGTGGTCGCGATCTACCCCACCACTCCTTCCTCCTCACCTCTCAAGACAGACCTCCGATCTCTCCGATCTCGCTTCCCGGACCCAAGGGGGACTGGCCCAGGGACAGGGAGAAATCCCATAAGGTATCCAGAGGCGCAATGGCCCTACCTGAGCTGCGCGGAGCCCGGCCCGCACTCCGATGCACCCGCCTTGCCATCGGCTCCTGGAGGCTGCAGAGGTTTATATGTGCAAAGGCCTTATTGTTGTTCTTTAGCCAAAAGACACCATTGTTTACTGGAGGGCGCCCCGGCGAAGTTTCCCCTTTCCCCGGGGTTTGCGGCGCGCGCTCCCCTCCCCGCCTCCAGGAGGAGGACTTACTCCCCAGGGCCTACCCGCACGCCTCTGGGTGCCCCGGCCTTCCCTAAGGATGTGAGGGCCCTGGGTTTGGTTCCCGCTTCCTGAGCATCTGAAACACAGAAGCCCGCAGGAAGTCACCCAGCCTTTGCCTAGCCACGCAGTGGCCCCGGGAAAGCGCACTTTTAACTCCGGGTCCGAGCCGCAGCTCCTCACCTACCCGGGGGGTTTCTGCGCTCTGCCGGCCAAGGTCCCAAGCGGTAACGCGCACAATTCCTCGCCGCGCTAGTCGCTTCTTCGCCCAGCCTTTGGAGCCTCGGGTCTAGCCTGGGGACCTTGAGCGCGATTAGTAAGCCAGGAGCCCAGAAATCCTAGACGGTGAAAAGCGAATGCACCACGCGAGCCGGTGCACAAGGCTCTCTTCTTCGGGAAAGTTGCTAGAATCACCTCCCCCCTCTCCTGCCTATCCTCCCCACCCCCCTCGCCTGCAAATCTCTCGTGTTGAGAAAAGCAAGGCTTGCAGGAAGCTGCTCCGGATGTTTGCTGCGTTTCATGTGGCATTTGTGGCTGGCTCCGATAACGTCCTAAGCTCCGCTTCCAACGCCGCATGGAGGGAGGGGAACAGGGAGTCCGCACTCTGGGATGGGTGTGTGCGGGGGCCCGCAGCCCCCAACGCCCTTCCCCGCCCCCCTGAAAATGACACATGCATGATCATTACAAGAAACTGGGTCTAGGTAACGGTATGCAAGATGGACTCATCTTGGAAAGGCATCCTCAGGTCTTCCTGGTCACTGGAAGTAAATTGCTGCTGGATGACGCTCCGGGGAAATGCTATCAGGAGTAGGGGGAGGGGCGCTCACCTCTGAAGCTCCTACGACGCGGATGCAGTCCTCTCACCTGGTTCTCAGTCATCTTACCCAACAAAAACCAGTCGTGAGTCTTCAGGCACAAGGGCACGTACTCCTGGGGAGACCCAGGTTTTCTTCCAGTTTGCCCATGTTCTTGGCACTTCTTCCTGCAAAGGAGAGGGGGAGATAGACCCGAGGATGAAGGAAGTGTACAGGGGCAGATGGGTGCATATGCATTTTTTGGACTCATACCTAGATTGTGTTCTCATTTTATTTTTTTTACGGAATTAGTCAAATAGATGTGACCGAGATAGATAAAGTGGATTGTGACCGATAAAATGGATTCTGGAGTGGGCATTGCTTTTGTTTAGTGTTTAATCTTTACTCTAAGATAATACTTATGAATTTGTAAAAAATACTTTGCACTAATAGAAAATTCTACATCGACATCTTGGAAAGGACCTTTATGACAATCTAGAAAAGTTAGAGGAGATCGCCAAGGAAACATCAGGGAGCAAAAGGCACTGGGGGATTCATTTGTTCTCTCTTTGCCTATCATTTCCTCATTTATATAATCATTTGCAATGCAATTATGCTTCATGTTCATGCCCTACCCCACTTCCCCCCAGAAATAAATAAAGCTTTAAAGGAAAAGTATGTAATACATTAAATTTGTTTAAGTCACCCATCACCTCTCTAAGATTTTCTTAAGTAGATTAATTATTTTTTCTTGTCTGAATAGGAAAAATCCAGGAACTAGAAATACTTTCTCAGTTTGTCCCCAGAATGAAGACTGGTTGCTACAGGTAAGGGGGAGGGGGGAGAAGAGAGGAGGGAGGGAGGAGGGCAGCTTACACAGATCCTCACACAGTGAACACTGGCTTAAAATAAGCGTGTGGGACTTTTTCTGAGACATGACAAATGTCAGTTTCCAAAGCTCTGTGTTTCTTTATTTTTGTTGATGCCATTAATAAGCAGACTTGACCGATTACTCTGCCATTGTACTAGAACACAAAAAGCTGCAGCGTTTACTTTCCAGGTCCCGGATGGAAACCCTGGTTTTTCATCACCCCTTCAAAGTAAACAAAACAAAACAAAAAAATCTGTTCTTGAGATTTGATGCATTAATTTCTTTGCAACGTTATCTAATTATGCAAAACCATTTCCTTCCTCCATTGCCTTAGAAAACAACACGAATACACAAACACAACTCGGTGATTGGGGATTCCAAGTGTGAAGGCAGACTCCCTGAAAGGAACTCTACTCCCCAATGCTATGTGACCTCAGGCAAGTTCCTGAACCTCTCTGTGCCCGTTTCCTCTGGTGAAGATACAAAGTGTCCACCCCCTGGGGTTCTAAGGATGATTTGCTGTTTGGGTGGCTCTAAGAACAGTGTGCCATGTGCCATATATGAGTGCAATATGAGGGCTTGCTCAAAAATTCCCCTGAGAAGTTTTCTCAGATTTAAACACAAGTTTAATAGTCATTCAGATTTTTCATTTCTGTCTGCAGAAGCATATAGAAATCCTTAATACCTCCAGCAAAAAACGACCTTACACAGCCTCTAAGAGCTAGTTATTTTGCCACTCAAAAGGATGGCTGTCTTTCCCTCTAAAGATGTGCATTTAGATAGATATTGCTGCTCTTTTTTTTATCACATTTTTGAAATCAGAACTAAGTCTTGCCTATTTTACGGGATACACATGAGAAGACCTTACTACACATACATGTACACATTTTCAGTGGTTGGTTCTCGTTATGCACCAAGGCTTTAAATCTTTCTGGATGACAGGATATTGGCTATAGAATGTTATTCCATATCTAGCCTTGTTTTAAAAATTAAAATTTACCTCGGACATAGCATTTTGTATATAATACACCAAGCAAGTCGAGTCCTTGGGAAGATAACCTCTTTTATTTATTATCAACAGTGTCTATTGGCTTGGCTAAAACACATTTGAAAAAAGACACCTCTGGGGTTCCTTGGTAGAAGCGAGGTCCACACTGAAACGCCTTAGCTCCTGCAATCAAGAGTGGGTGCTTAGTGTGTTGATCCAAATTACTGTACCCAGACCCTTGAAGGTTTTGCAAGAATCCCCTTTTCCGGGTCTGAGAGGACAGTGGCGCCAGAGCCCGGCTCCTCCAGCCAGTTTTCCCCGCAGGCAGGTGTAGGTTTTCTGTTTGGAGGATTGGGGAGGAGAAAACGTGGGACTGAGCTGGGACTGGGGACTCGGAACGCCGGCTGGGCGTGGGCCTAACGACTCTGGCCGGCCCGCCCCCGCGGCTCTATTGGCCGCCGCGCTGCAGAAAAGGCCCCGCAGCCCTGGGGTGCCCGCAGTGTCATTGGGCCGGCGGGGGCGCTGGCTGCGCGGTGGGCTGGGACTGACCCGGAACGCCGGTGGCGGGTTCGGGCCCGGGACACTCCAGCAGCTCCCTCTCTCCCTCCCTGCCCTTCTCCCCCCCGCATCGGGGGAGGCTGCGTGTCTGGCCGAGAGCTGTGGGGCGCGGAGCAGGGCTGGAGCGCCATGAGCAGCCCGGATGCGGGGTACGCCAGTGACGACCAGAGCCAGACCCCCCGGATCGCGCTGCCCGCGGTGATGGCCGGCCTGGGCCCCTGCTCCTGGGCCGAGTCGCTGAGTCCCCTCGGGGACGTGAAGGTGGTGAAGGGCGAGGCGGCGGCGGCGAGCGGGGGGGCGCCGGCCGGGGCCGCGGGCCGGGCCAAGGGCGAGTCCCGCATTCGGAGGCCCATGAACGCCTTCATGGTGTGGGCGAAGGACGAGCGCAAGCGCCTGGCGCAGCAGAACCCCGACCTGCACAACGCCGAGCTGAGCAAGATGCTGGGTGAGTCCGGGGACCTGCTTGCTGGAACCTAAGAGGGTGCGGGTCCTGCGCCCGAGGCCGGCGGTGCACGGCGCCAGTCCTTCCTTAGGGCCGGCCGGCCGGCCATCCCCGTCCCGCTCCTCGCTCTCCGGGCTTGCAAACGGGCATCCAGCCTCGGCCCTCCGTGTCCGAACAGGAGCCCGGGTACCAGGGCTCGGGAGAGGCGGCTTCCCGCGCGCATCCCAGGGATGGCGTGGGCACCCCTGGCTTCCAGCGGGGCTGGGCTGACCCCTTCCCGGGTAGACTGTTTCAGTTCCTCCAACCACCGGGAGTGGATGAGCCGGGAAGCCGCTCCCAGGAGGCTACCATCCGGGAGTGATGCCCTTAGAATAAGGGGACCAGACGTCCCGACTTTAACAATGTCCCGCTCCCGCCCTCGGCGTATTAAATCGGTCCCGATTTTTGGAAAGAAGAAAACGCGGATGGGACGCGGGACAAATTGTTAAAAGTCGGGCCTGTCCCGCCAAAAGCGGGACGTCTGGTAACCTTACCTTAGATAAGATCCTAGATCTCCTGTGTGTCCCCCCAAGTGCTCGGATTCGGCTCCACCTCCCGAGTCCATACTTTCACTTTTTAACGTGGCCCCCTTATTCCTCTAGTTCAGTGTTTCCCAAATTTCTCTCACGATGAGAATCACCCGGTGGAGTGGTTACAATACAGATTCCTGAGTCCCAACTAAGAAGTGCTAAACTAGAATAGATAGCTAAACTAGAATATTTGGGAACATATAGGTGAAATTGTATACTTAAGAAGTGCTAAACTTAGAATATTTGGGAACATATAGGTGAAATTCAATTTCACCTATATGTTCCCAAATATTCTAAGTTTAGCACTTCTTAGTTGGGATTCAGGAATCTGTAGTTTAACAACTCCACCGGGTGATTCTCATCATGAGAGAAGTTTGGGAAACACTGGGCTAGTTGTACAATTCAGGGTCGGAGGGGAGGAGAGGGGGGCCTGGGAGGGGGAACTCGCATAGTCAGTGAGCCCCGCGCCCCTCTCCCCCTCCCCGCGGCCCCGCAGGCAAGTCGTGGAAGGCACTGACGCTGGCGGAGAAGCGGCCGTTCGTGGAGGAGGCCGAGCGGCTGCGGGTGCAGCACATGCAGGACCACCCCAACTACAAGTACCGGCCGCGGCGGCGCAAGCAGGTGAAGCGGCTGAAGCGGGTGGAGGGCGGCTTCCTGCACGGCCTGGCCGAGCCGCAGACCGCCGCACTGGGCCCCGAGGGCGGCCGCGTGGCCCTGGACGGCCTGGGCCTGGCCTTCCCCGACCAGGGCTTCCCCGCGGGCGCGCCGCCGCCGCCGCTGCTCCCGCACCTGGGCGGGCCCTACCGCGACTGCCAGGGCCTGGGACCAGCGCCCCCGCTCGACGGCTACCCGCTGCCCACGCCCGACACGTCTCCCCTGGACGGCGTGGACCCGGACCCGGCCTTCTTCGCCGCGCCGCTGCACGGAGACTGTCCCGGGGCGGCGGGTCCCTATGGCTACGCGCAGGCCTCGGACTACGCGGGGCCCCCGGAGCCCTCGGGCCATGCCATGCCGGGCCTCCTGGCGCCCCCCAGCGCCCTGCACATGTACTACGGCGCCATGGGCTCGCCCGGGGCCGGGCGCGGCTTCCCCCAGATGCACCCGCAGCAGCAGCAGCAGCAGCAGCAGCACCCGCAGGGCCCGGGGCAGCCGTCGCCCCCTCCCGAGGCGCTGTCCTGCCGGGACGGGGCGGACCCGAGCCAGCCCGGCGAGCTCCTCGGGGAGATGGACCGCACGGAATTCGAACAGTACCTGCACTACGTGTGCAAGCCCGAGATGGGGCTCCCCCCGTACCAGGGACACGACTCGAGCGTGAACCTCCCCGACGGCCACGGGGCCATCTCCTCCGTGGTATCCGACGCCAGCTCCGCGGTATATTACTGCAGCTACCCTGACGTGTGACGGTCTGTCTCCGATTCCAACCCAGCCTGCAGGCCAGAAGCACAAAAAAAAAAAAAAAAAACCCACAAAAAAACCCACACAAACAAACCCAGTGTTACACACTTCCCGGAGGAGCTAAGGAAATCCTTATCCTCATGTTGTTTTCGTTTTTTGTTTTTGAAGTTGCCTTGGCATATATAATTTATGGTAATTTATTTTGTCTTGACACTTGAACAGTTGAGGGAGCAAAAAAAAAAAAAAGTGAGGCTGTGTGTGTGTGCTTAATAAGGTTTATTCCCACAGAGTCCTTGCCAAAACCCTGTTTCCAAGTTCAAGTTTGTCGGTTTGATTGTCCCAGAACCACTTGCTCCATTTCCTGAAATTTGATTGATCACAGAAATGTTGTCTAGGGTGTCATTTTTTTTTTTTCAATCTTAAGAAATAAAATCTGGAATCCTACTTTTTCACTTTGCTCTAGTGCCTTTGTCACAAACGCCATTTCTTGAGACCAGTGTTTAACTATGAATAGGACTAGGCATTTTAATGGTGACATTTAGCACATGGTTACTGTAAAGTTCTATGTTCTTGTAAGAGGAGGCCTAACTGACTTCAAAGAGAAGCCCTAAAAATGAACATTAGGATACCACACTCTGATGTAATTTTTTTTTGCTAGGCAAAGCACTCTTATTACCAAATGAGCCTATTTCAAGTGATTGAAGTCTCTAAAAAATAATGCTTAATCTTAATACTTTAAATACTTTCAATTTTAATGTATCATTTTTACCAGAAGAGTATGGTCAAGTAATTTTGGTTTTCTATATTTCTATATTTTTTATATTTCTTGAACTGCTCAAAGAGGCTTTTGAGTTTTGTTTTTCACCTGCATTTCATCAATATTATTTCTATTTCCTCTCAACAATGAACTTGTTTTTAATAATCCTCATATCCACACCTTGGGGAAGTAGTGTTACTGGATTGCAAATAATTTGAAGGAGCCACAGGAATAAAATGTGCATTTTGATCTTACATGTCTTTGTTTTTTTTTAATTTTCACTCAAGGATTTGTTTTAATTGACTTTTAGAGAGAGAAAGGGAGAGAGAAACATCGATTCGTTGCAACTTATGTGTCCTGACCCTGCAACCATTAGGGATGATGCTCCAACCAACAGAGCCACCCTGCCATGGCTTGACCTTAACTTTTAATGAACCTTAACCATCTCTAATTTCATTAGGGTATTTTGATATTACAGGTTCACTGCGTTTGTGGCCAATTACATTTCTTGGCACTTGCAGTGAACTGTGGAGGGATCCAGGGATGACTTGTATGTGTTACAACTCCAGCTACAGCCCTGGGACATCACTGTGCTGCCATTCCAGAGAAGACACTGAGTCAGGGGTGAGAGGTACATATTGTGTGTCCCTTTCCATCACATTGTACAGATTGAGACATAAATGGATGACTTGTCATGGGCACTTGCTGTGCCAGGGGTGTTGTCCGTGCCATTTTGTGCTGAGCCTGAGCCTGATCAATCCTGTGAGCTTAGGTGCTATTCTCCCCATTTTGCAAGCGAGGGAAGGCAATACAGTAAAAACTTACAACCTTTGTTCCGTTTTCCTTTGTATCAGGGTATGTCCTTGGGCAATGGGAGAACTTACCTTCTGGTGGTGAGAAACTAACTTTCCATACTAATAAATTTCTATAGATAAACGGAAGGAGTAAGGGGGTAGCTTGAAGCATTTATGTTAAAGAGGGCTGCTCAGCTGAAATGGACAGCTAGATTCTCTGGAGGAATGGTAGGGTTCATGTTTTTTTGTGGAAAAGTACCTGCAAATATTTTGTCTCTGGTGTAATTTTTTAATCTGAAAAAATAAAATCTGGAATCCTACTTTTTCACTTTGCTAGTGCCTCTGTCACAAACGCCATTTCTTGAGACCAATGTTAACATGAACAGGGTTAGGCATTTTAATGGTGACATTTAGCACATGGTTACTGTACATTTCTCATTCTCTTATGAGAGTTGGACTAATTGATTTTAAAGAGAAGCTCTTAAAAAAAACACACACAAAAACAGCATTAGGGTATCCCAGTCTGTTGTAATGTTTGGAACAGAAAGTTGCAAGGAGGAAAGGTAAGTCTTTGTTTTTTGCCTATAGTGCTCTACCCTTTTCCACATGCTTTCTTTCTCTGGCCCCAGACAGCTTCTGCTTCCAGCCTAAATACCTTCTCCCAGGTGCCTCATGAGGCCTCACATGCTCATGTTCAAGACTGAGACACCAGTTCAGATCACACAGCACATTTTAGAGAGGACTTGGTTGGCCCAATGAGACTCAGTTGTACCCTTGGCCGCCACCTCTAAACAAAATATAGATAGGGAAAAGAAAAAGAGTGCGTAGGTGGGAGAATCAAAAATCCCTTGAAGTTAGTCTTGAGTACTCACTAAGGACAGGTGGGAAAATAAGAGCCAAAATATTAGGTGTTCCCAGTGCCTTTCACTCCAAGGGAGGGGAATTAGTCTCCCAATAAGTGGGAGGGAGTGGGGGCTGCAGAAATACCCAGCCCACTCAGACTCAGATGAAGTGACCTCAGGCACTAGCTAACGCTATTGCTTTTGTTTTACTTTGGAAGCAAACACACAAAAGATAATTATTGCTTTCTTCCCTTTTTCTCTGCTTCTGAGAGGCTTTAAAAATACCTTAGGTGATAAAAATCCAGGGCAGCTCTCACTAAGTTTTAAGCAGCCTTAGATACCTTCTTTGAATTCACCTTATATGAGGGAAGCTGAGAATTCCCTCCTGTGAGAATGCACACATATATTTGTACAATATTTTATGAATTTTAGGCAATTCAGGACCCCATTGTAGGAATCTGAAGCCCTAACAGAATCTGAAGGTTTGTTGGGAAGCATGATACTCCAATATCAAAAAAGCAATTTCCCTATATTTAAAACATAGGGGTAGCTCTAGAACTCGCTCAAGTAATTCAGTTCTCCCTTTTTGAGACATGAGTCAAGGAAGATGGTGTGGTGGGAGAGTAGTATGTCCCTCTGAGTGCAAAGGAAACCCATGATGCCCTGCCAAGATGAATACATGATCTGGTCTTCTGTGCAGTTGTGGTGGTGGTGGTATCTAGTCTCCAAGATTGGCCCCATGAACCAGACCTTGGGTATTTACCTCCTTGTATAAACTCCTCCCACACTGAAGCTGGGTCAGACTTGTTATTCTAACTCAATAGAATTCAGTGGAAGTGATGTGGTGCCAGCTCCCAGGCCCTAGAAAGACTCAGCAGATTTCCTTTCTTGTACTCCTGGGAGCCTGGAAGAGCTACGGTGCAAACGGTCTGGTTACCAAGGTGGGGAGATGGTGGAGAGGCCACTGCCGAGGAGACGCCCTGTGATGCCCTGAGAAGAGAGAGGTATCAGCCCTGCTGACAGCTGACTCCCACCTGCTGCCTGCCCACCTATCACCATCTGATAGGAACTCAAGAGAGGCCAGAAGAATAAAAGCCCAGGTGAGCTGAGGCAATTCACAGGTGGGAAAGATTAAAGAAAAAGAAAAAAAAAGATAGTTGTAAGCCACTGAATTTTGGGGTGTTTTGTTATACGGCAATGGATTATTGAAACAGTTCTCCTTAAGTGAGCCTTTTATATGTTTAAGTATAGGAATGTGGGCATCGATGAAAGGGGGCTTTGGGACCTGTCAGAGATGCCAATATAGTTTTAATGTGAAGGACAGAATGTAAAACTTGGACTCATTTATATCATTACATGGAGAGACTCCAGTTTCCTCAAGCGAGACGCAGATAAAGTGATCAGAGGTACCTAGTGATTTTTTAAAAAGTATTACATTTGCCTTATTTTTAATGGTTCTATTTAGGAAACAAATACATAGAGAATCATAGCTCCTCTTCCCCCATCTCTACTTCTGAGATATACTATTTTGTGTGACAGGAGGTAGAGTCCAGCCCTTTCATGGACTGAGATATCCTGTCTCCATGCTAGCACAGAGTCTACACCTGTTTGAAGGATCCGGAATGGTCCGGAAAAGGGCATTTTCCTTCCACTGAAGCAGCGACTACTTCTCTGTTAAAGCTATGAAGGTGGGTCCGATAAGTTGCAAATAAATTTGTAAGTTACTTCTGTAAGCTGCTGAGAGGATATCACAATGAAACTGTCTTTTATTATTATTATAATATATGGGTATTACTGTACCTTTGAGTTATATCGATACTGCAGAAGACACCGGTATAACTTTACATTTGGGCTGGTATCAGGAAAAGCAAATAGTGTTGAGTACCTTGGTTGTTGACACCTCAGTGATTTCCAAAGTTATTGGAGAAATCAGGAGTTCTCTGTTGCCTCTCTTCTATTTGAGAGAGTTGCCAGTGGTTATTACTCTGAGAATGACTGCATAATGCCACCGTGGCACTATTCCAAAAGAAGAAAAACCTTTGCATTTTGAGTCAGAAATTCATCTGACTCAGCAACTTAGCTTTGTGAGTTTGGAGAAATTACTCATATTTTTCTAAACAATCTGCTCATCTGTAAAAAAAAAAAAAAAGTAGGGATAATGAAAAAGCCCTGACTCTCTCTCACTGGATGTTGTAGGGGTTAAAAGAGTTTGTGTTTAAAGGATTGCTTCTGTGCCCCCGCAATTGCTCTCTCCCCTTCGATTGTATGTATGTCTATGTGTGCCCCCTCCCCACCAAGACTTGGGTGGTTTCATTTTGTTATTCCATTGGGAAAGAGAAGACAACAGTACTTGGTATTTGGATTAGTGGACTGAGAATTTTATTAGCCTTGTAAGATTGCCCGTATTAACAGGAAACACAGACCATCTGTGGACTAGACAGTCTCTTTGATTGCAAAGTAAGCCTAGAAATAACTGTAACTTAAAGAATTTCATATCAAAGGCCCCAATTCACACAAAATCCTTTTTACTAAAAATCTCAAGGTCTTCTTTCTTCCTCCCTCTCTCTCTCTCTCTCTCTCTCTCTCTCTCTCTCTCTCTCTCTCTCTCTCTCTCTCAATGAACAGAGTTAGAATTTTTGAGGGGGAATAACCAAAGTGGAATGGGGGAGGACAGGAAGAAATCATTTCTAGCTTGATACTCAGGTTTTTTGAATCATTCAGTTCTCAAAAGTCAATTTCCCAGGACAATGGTAAAAGGATGAAGAGAAAAAATTTCTGAGACATTTCCTAACTGAAGAAACAATTTTACAGTTGTTCCCTATGTAGTGGGTTCTTCTG